CTTCTCCCTCTCCCACTCCCCCTGCTTGTGTTCCCTCTCTTGCTGTGTCTCTCTCTGTCAAATAAATAAATAAAATCTTTAAAAATAATAATAATAATAATGATAATTAGTAACTATTACACGACAGAAACCAGACTAAGTGCTTTTTTTCTCATTTAGTTCCTATTTATCTCATTTAATCATCTCATTTAATTCCTATTGCAATATTATAAAGATTTTATTATTTTCCCTGTTTTTCTTTCTTTTTTTTTTTAAAGACTTTATTTATTTATTTGAGAGAGAGAGCACAGAGGGAGAGTGAGAGGGAGAAGCAGACTCCCAGCTGAGCAGAGAGCCCGGGAGGTTTGATCCGAAGATCCTGAGATCATGACCTAAGCCAAAGGCAGACGCTTAAGCAACTGAGCCACCCAGGCGCCCCTTATTATTCCTGCTTTTCAAATGAAGGAGCTAAGACTCAACTATGTAGAGCAGCTTATCTTTGAGAATGGAACAACATTGGTGAAACCAGTGGACCTAGAACTCTACTTAATCTCCCCAGGCTTCATTCAAAACACACATTTGATTCCTATTGAGTATGCACATTTAAGAACAGCAAAGGAAAACAATTATTAGCTCTAACATTTCTGATTTTATTTACACATCTATTTTTAAGACTTAATTAAAACTTTATAAGAATGTGAAATTTCAGTATATGAAAATGTTGGCTGAGCCCCATCCCCTTGTTTGAAAAGCAGTATTTGTAGAAATCTAAATGTATTTCTGCTTACTACTGACCTTATGGGAATAGAAATATAACCAGAAATAAACCAAGTGAATTTACTAATGACTCTGCTCAACTGTGAGCATTAGCTAGGATTCTATGTCCTGAGTCCTTAACCTGGCTTTGTTACCAGGTGTAAGACTATAATCTCCTTGTAGGCAGGAACCATCCACGTTATCTGTGTATGTATCTTCCCTGATAAATACTAGAGCTCCCCTCACAGAATGGATGGTCAATATAGGAATAAGGTATTTTTTACCTCTTTGGGCCTTGGCTTCTGGAGAGATGAATTTAGAGCACTTTCCAGTGTATAAAGCACTTGTGTGTATTCTCTAACTTTGTCTTCTCATCATCATAACTGTTTAAGAAAATATTATTATCCTCATTTTCCATATGTGACTGGCTCAAGATCACCCAGATAATAAGCACCAGAGCCTGAGACTGGAACCCAAAACCAAGAGTATCAATCCAGTGCTTTTTCTACTAAAACACACATCACATCAACTGCATCACTGTTGTCATTGTCACATCACCATGGGCATCACAACCATTGCTGTCATCGTCATTATCATCATCATAAAGCTGACCAGAGGACTAAAACATCTACTTGTGGGCCAACACTAGACACAGATCCATACCAGGACATCATTGTGGAGTACATGCATTTCATCTTGGGTACCTGCCCACCTACCCAGCTGCCTAATTGTTTCCCAAAAGTAAAAAAAAAAAAAAAAAAAAATCATTTTCCAACTTTTTTTCCTTTGACAAGTCTCTTATTTCCACAAACTGCTATTCTCAACTAGATGGTAATAGCAAAGCAACTTCCTCAAATTATGTCACAAGGAGGTGGCATCTGTAATGGTGTGCTGAAGCTGGCTGGTATAGGCTTGAGATAGGTGATTGTTAAATATTCAGAAATTTCATACTTGATAGGAAATCAACAAATGCTACAAATTGGGATTTTTTTTTTACAAAGCTGGTTAACCAGTTCACCACTCTTATAGTAAACAGTAACCCTAATAAGATCATTTGCTTTTTAACATATGTGTTTGTTAACTAATAAAATCCCAAACAATGAGCCATTGAACTGGAAAATTTTTTATAGTATCACGACAACTTCTGGATGAAAACGAGATCTCTTTTCAGTATCTCTTAGTCACAGAAATAGGTTAAGCTGATCTTGGATAATAATACTGTTTATTTAGTGCATGCTAGGTACCTTATACACATTTATCTCATCCAATCTTCATGGAAGCCCTGTGAGATATTATCTTCCTACTACAGATGGAGAAACAGTCCCATGGAAATCGGATGACTCGACCAAGGTCATCTGGCTAAAGGGTACAGCTGGTGTTTGAGTTCACCTCGTTTGGCTCCCAATGACTGTATACTTTACAGCCAGCAGCTTTGAATAAATCAATGTAATGCTGTTACTGACACAGGCAAAAGAATTGTTAAAGCTTTCCTTGAGAAATTTCCTCAACAGTAAGTTTAAATATGCATATGTCGTAGATGACAGTGGCACTCTTCTCCACGGAAGCAAAATGGTAACTGAGATGACCCTGCAGTCTCTCCTGGCCTTCTAAATGTAAGATTTTGTATAATGCAAACTATGTTTGTTAATATCTAATGTATGGGTTGAATTGTTGAGCAAATCTTTGTCTTCCTCAGGACTAAAGGCATTGGGGGCAATTCCTGCCTTTTCCATGATTAGAAAGGGCTTTCATCACCATTACCAGGGCTCTCCCCACTCTAGACTGCACCCCCTCCACACCTTCGAAGCAATACTTTGCTCAAGAGAAGCCCACCACAGATTGTATCTAACTTAAAACACAACAAATCAGTTTATCTTCCGAAGGTTGTCATAACTGTCCTGACTCTATTTGCCAATTAGTGATGCTCTCCAGGTTTACACAAGAGATTTGTCCGTCCGTTTTCCTAGTATGAACACAAAATGAATTTGCGAAGGCAAGGTTGTGAGAACAGCCTCACTTCTCCCGGGCAACAGGTTATGATGCTACACACCCAATTATTATATTACCGCAGAACCTGCTCAGCAGGAAAGAGATAGCACAAGCTGGAAGACCAGCAAATGGCAGGATAATAAAATAACAGTAACAGCTAACACTTATTGAGCACTCACCGTGAGCCGGGCACCACTCTAAGCATGCCACAGCATTAACTCTTTTTATCCCACCAAGTTCATTATTTCTGGTATAACTCGCTGTCACTCTAGCAAAGTTATCTCTGCACAGGCAACAAATAAAGATTTAACCAATTCGACACTAGCACCACAAACCATATTCTTCTGAGCTTGGGTTCCCTGACTCATTGCCTATGCTTCCTGATATGCACAGAGTTAATGGGTTACATACAAGAGCAGAATCCAGGATACAAATACTTTGAATCTAAGCAGTATGCCTCACTGTCCATCCTTCTAACTCCTACAGTACACTGTGCTAGTGGGAAAACTGGGAACCGAGGAGATGAAGTGAATTCACAGAGGTTATGACAGTTAGAAATCATAGAATCACAGAATTCTAGGATTAATACGGAACTTAAAAATATTAAACATAAGTAGTCAAATATTGCAAGGGAATCTTTCTTAATATTAAAAAAACTGAAAACAAAACAAACTGAAACTTGCACCAAGGCTCTCTGCATTGCATGTCATGCCAAGATGAAGAAAATCAAGCAAGTACAACATGATTTTAATCTTTGAGTTTAAGTTGGGGACTAGACATAAATCTCATTTATTCCAGAGCATTTCACTTATCATTTGTGAACAAAAGTTATAAAGGCCAACATTTGAAATGATTCCCTTCCGCTAGTAACTAGAGTGAGACATGTGGAAAGTAGTAAACCTCCTGAGAAACATTTAGTTGAACCCACACTTGGCCAAACTCATCCCACATGTCTGTGTGGGCATCGACCCTTTTGAAAACCAATGCACGTTCCTGTGATTCCCACTTATCAGAATTCTTCTTCCTTGGTATCAGAGGAGAAGGTTTTTAGAAGAATCAAATTGTCTAGTGAAGAGTAAGGACTCTCTCCACTTCCCCTCTGGATCAGAGGCACTTATAAACAAAATGATTTTCTCCTCTCCTCCTGTCCCACTGCCTTTGTAACTTTCCCACTGGTCTGAAATTCTCCCTTGAAGTAATTGCAATAATTTAGACAGCAAAGTTTGTAGGTGCCCCAGAATCCAGGTAAAGGAACTCTGGTAGTAGGAATCTCCAAGTTGGAAGCTCTCAAACTAAGTGAATTAGAATAACCTGGATATTCATTAAAATGCATCCCCATCACAGATTATAATTTAGAAAGTCTGCAGTAGGGCAAAGGAACCTACATGTTAAACAAGTGTTCTGGGTGATTCTGATGCAAGGTGTTGATTCAAAGTTCACTTTGAGGAACATGGTTCCATATAATACTATAGGCACTAGAGGAGCAAGCAGTTGTTGAAAGGAGGGAAGTATAGAAGCACGAGAGTATCTGGGACAAGACGGCAGCTATAGGCACTGGGCCAAGAAAAAGCAAGCCAAGCTGAGGATGCATGGAAAGAACTGTGGAACTGCTAGCATTTGGAGGTAGAGGACTATTAAAGATTAACTCTGCCTACCCAAAAAGTCTGCTTAGTTTTGTATATCCAACTTACAAAAGCATAATACAGATATTAAAATCAATTCTTGATATGAAATATTCATATGGAGTAGAATAAAGAAAAAGATAGTAATGGAAGGAGTCGTGGTTAGTAAGGGACACTGGACTCTAAAAAGTCTCTAAACACAAGAGCCTAAATGATATTCCGATAATCACCAATATTTTCAAAGTTTCAGATTTAAGGCATTATCTTCAGCTTGGGGAAAATCCTCTCCTTATTTTCCCAAGTCATGAGGAAATAGGAAAATCCTCCCTAAATCACTCCATATCTTACCTTCTACGTTGCCGGATTCCTGATAAAATCAAGAGCAGGACCGCCACTATGACGATGCAAAATATCACACTGAATATAATAATCCAGATGGGTACAGATGGGTCAGTTGGTGGTGCAAGAGTGGAAGGAATTTTTAAAAATTCCAGGGTCTGGTCATTCAAAAAGAAGGCATTGTTGATCCGGTTCCTATTCATTCTACAATATGATGATTAAAAACAAACAAGAGAAAAAAAAATTAGAAACAGAAGGTACAGACCTATCTCTCCATGATTACAATTATCTCTAGAAACAGAGCATCCCTGCAGCAAGAGACCTCAGGTTGACTAGACAGTTTGACGGGGGCAATCATGCTTTGGTACCCTTTTCAAGGCAGTGCTGGCTGCTACTGAAAGGCTCGCCTACTGCCCTCCATAGCTGGGAATGTCCTAGAAGTAACCAGAACTCCTGAGCTTCAAGCTCTGTCCACCATGTTTTATTTCCAGAAAAGTAGCATCTAGATTAAGATGACACAACTCTATTTAAGGTGGCTCACACAAATACCAACAGCCAGAAGAGGGAAAATTGTGTCGGTGAGAAACATAAGATGACAAGAAAACTGGGAATAAAAAAGAAAACATGAAGCCAGGAGCAGCTGCAAATCCAACAAATTGATTTTTCTTCATTAATTCAACAAACCTTTGCTGAAAACTTACCAAGTACCAGATATGATGCTAAGTGCCAGAGATATGAAGTGAAATGAAACTACCAAGGCGCTTATAGTCTAGTGCACTCTAGAAGGATGGCACTTCAGTCCCTCCACAATCCCAGCACAGTGCAAGATGTTCCATGACAGACCTTAAGTATGGCCACGATGGGAGACCGGGGATGGCCAAGAACATCATAGCAAGAAGTCAGGGCTGCTTTCCTGAGAAAGCAACTTTTGAGCTGTGTTTTGGAATTCTTGTTGAGGAATTATTGAGACCAAAGTGTGTAGTGAGCACAGGAATGGAGACAAGGGTATAGGAGATTTGTTCAGGAAACTACAAATTTCGTACAACTAAAGTCACTGGCGTTTGAGAAGTCCAAAACTCTAGAAAAATATCCAGGTACTCTTCCCCGGGGAAAATCTGCATTTTTGGTGGTGGCAGCAATTAGGGAGGGGTTGATAGTGAAGACTTACTTGACTGAAACGAAATAAGTGAATTTCTAACTGGAATTTGCAAACTAGATGAGGAGCTTTCTTGGGGATATTGTGTGGCCTTGACTGAATTCACACTAGACAAGCTGACTTCATCTGCCTCTAGAGCAGCAATGGAAAATACACATATAATGTGAGCTTCATGTGTGACTTCAAATTCTCTAGGAGGTGCATTTTAAGAAAAAGTAAAAAGAAACAGGTGGAATTATTTTAATTTTTTTAAGTAGGCGCCACACCCAACATGGGGCTTGAACTCACGGCCCTGAGATCAAGAGTCACATGGTCTACTGACCAAGCCAGCCAGGTACCCCGAAACTATTTTAATAATTTTTTTGCCCAATATATCCAGAAAAACATAATTTAATAATAATGCTAGTGGAACTAGCATTATTTTGCCCAACTCCGCAGATTCTTCAGCCTTGAAATTTCCTATTACCTCTCCTCTAGATGCCATGCCCTTGCTTTTCATGCTATCCTTCTTTCTTGGTATCATTCCCTCTATTTTCATACAATACTGACGAGACCTATCCCTAACATAAATTCTCATTCTCTCGGCCATCCACACCCCCTAAGTAGCTTCTGCTGCTAGGACCTTTCACAGAGACATTTTGTTGTGGACATATTCACCTGTATCCTCCGCCTTTACCCCCAACACTCACTCTTCTCCCTCACATTAATGGAAGCCTGCTTTCACCGCAGTGTCTTCATTTCCTTGTAGCCTTCCCAGATCATGGGGGAGGGCTTGAATAAAACTCCTTTCCATGTGAAATACAGTGTTCTTAATTCTTATTCCCTAAGTGGTGGGTCTTAACAATATTTTTTAGTGGCAAAAGCACAGGAACAATGTAGTTCAAACCTTCTTGTTAAAGCAGATTAAATCATTTCCCACTATATAGATCCTCAAGGCCTTTGCTTTGGCAAGGGAAATGGATTATTGTTCACACAAAAACCTTTGGCATTAATTATATACTCATTATCTTAAATGTTAATATTTTACAGAGAGCAAATGAGTTCTTATACTAGATATTTCTCCTTGGTAAAGAGAATAATGTGTATTTCGGTAACTTGTAAGTCTGTTGTGAGGGGAGTTACTTTGTTTCATTCTTTCTTTTTCCAGAAATAGTTTATTTTCTGAACTCATTCTTCCAATACACTTTTGCCCAACATTAATCATTTGAAGAATGGGAAGTTTACATGCATAAAGTGCACATTGATTGAAGTAAAAACAAATTGCATCCTTCTTTGAAGTCAAGAATACACTTCACTTTTGAAAGTTTGTTATGATCACAAGGAGAGGCGGAGAGGAACTCTCAGGAAAAACTGTGTAAAATTTGAAATGGGTAAAAAATATTACTGAGTATCTGGTGAATACAACTTTCTGGACAACTTATACCTTCTATTTGTCTTTCAGTTATTTTGCAGATCTGTAAGTGGTAGAAAACTGACATAATGTAAATGATTTTTGTCCAGAGAAAATCAAGTGAATTGTGTCTGGTAGAATATGATTGATCACTACCTGATGGATAGAATGGTGCATCTTTTTGTAAATGGTCATCACCATTCCTCGATTCCCATAGATGCATGGTTCCTTGAAGTCTCCTTTGAACTGGTTTTACTGGTTCCCTCATTAATTAATGAGACAATAAAATCTTTAGTGGCATTTATTTTTAATTTGTATAAGAGTCATGCTCTTACCTTGTTTTTTAAAAAGTATCTTTTAAAGGCAAAGACTGTACATTAACTAAAGAAGCTAAGTCCTTAGAGACCCAAAAAATGAGACTATTTTTATTGGTTTTCAAATAAAAGTCAAAGGTATGACTTGTCCTTCAAAACACCTTACATTTATTAACTCATTTAACCTTCTCAGCAACTCTGAGAGGTACCACAACTATTCCCGTTTTATAGATTATAAGAGGAAGACAAAATGAGGGGAAGTAACTTATCTGTAATCAAGAAACAAAACCAGAATTTAAAACCTATGCATTTGGGCTCTAGAATCCATGTGATAAACCATCACACAACAGCACTGTACAAGATGTTCTTGCCGAAGGAAGACAGCACTGAACATTCATAGCTAATATTTAAACCAGGGATTCTCAGCCACAGCACAACTGACATTTGGGGTTGAATAATTCTTTGTTCTGAGGTGCTGTCCTGTGCATAGTAGGATGTTTAGTAGCACTCCTAACTTCTGTCTATTCAAGACCCCACCTCCCCCACCTCAATTGTGACAACAAAAATGTCTCCAGACATTGCCAAATGTCTCCTTGGAGGCAAAATTGTCCCTGGATGAGAAACACTGATCCAAACTAATCCTTAATACAAGCTAACAAAATTAAATCTTTCACATATTAATAAATAAATCACTGTGAAGCAGAGAGAGAATTCTTCAAAATTTATGAAAACAGTCGAATCAATCAACAAGCTGATATACCAGTAGAAGACATATTTAGTGATGATTACCTTATGGCTGACTGTATCTCAACAGCAGGAAGGGTGTGATTTTTTGAAGGATCTGTAACCACAAACCAGAATGACACCCGCTGGGTTACATTGCAAAGTAGGACGTGGGAAATTCTGCAGACGATGGTGAAAAAAAAATATATTATAAGCAAATAATGACTAATTCCATTAGAATATCCACTCTGGTGTTATTACCATCTTAAAAGGTGACTTAGCTATGAATGAAGCCATTTCTACCATTTTAAGAAATGCCTTATTAAGAAGAAAATAACATAGGAAATTTCCTTTGTTTCAAAATCGGATACTTGGGATCATTCCTAAAATAAGAATCTACCAAAATGAAAAAATAACAAAAAGTACACAGTAGAGAGTGTTAAGGATCTCATTCTCCATCACCTGTTAGCTGACAGCACCCCTGCTTCCCCAACACTGGGCCTCTTTCTGAACCACAGATGCCTTTGGTGTTTCCTCATCAAGCTCTTTTTAGTCTCATTCCATCTTCCACATCTCAGATCCAGACAAATCCGTTGTCACCCCTTGCTCCAATACATGCTTGCTGTGTTGGCCAGACTGCCGTCCCTCTCCCACTCCAGTACTGGAGCAGACGCAATAGGAGACCTCCAAGCTGAAGTGCTATCGCCAATTTACCAGCAGCCTTTAAACACGGTTTCTGCAATTACCTGCTTTCCAACTGTCAATTGGGAATGTACCACACCACTCTGTATACATACATCACCAGTAGACATGACAGGAAAGAAATGACATTAGTGTTCAGATTGGAGACAATTATATATGAATGTATGAAAGATATAAAGGTTGAAAATTATAGGAGAGTCCACATAACTCAACGTTGTCAGGGCTAAAACATAAATCATGAATGGCATTCACCATTTTCTTAAGAGCACAATTGCA